TGAGGAGAATTCTTTTAAGAACAACATATATGAATTTCATGGCAAAAAACCAAAAAACCGCTTGCAGAAAAGCTCTGAAGTAACCCCATATGTTTGTTTACAAATTTCATGTGATGAAGCGTTTTACGCATTCTGATTGGGTTATGGCAAAAATGTAAACAAAATCGCTGATTGGTCGAGAACGAAATTCTCCCTTGTTATTCAGGCGTTGTTGTTTTTGCTTCTTGTTCATAAAAAGACGACATCGACAAGAAAAACACACGCTGATTTTATATGCTTTGGGGTTCTGTGTCACTAATAGAAGACGACAGGATTCTCGGGATTCTTAACGATGATTATAGGGAAAGTTGTAGTTTAAATATCGTAAACCTCTGAATATAGCTAAGGTGTCCCCCAAATATAAACCCCGTGTATAAGCCCACCATGTTCACTCGCGCTAAGGTCATTTCGAATGTAACATACCTCCCCCGAATATAAGCCCCTCCATGTATCAGCCCATGGGCTTATTATTGGAGAGGTATTTATTAATCCAAGGACGGGAACTAACACCTCAGACCAGTGATATTAATAATAATAATTTATTATGATACCCATCTACAGATTTAAAATTTACTATTATATTTAAAGATAAAATGCCTTTTTAAAAAGAAAGGTCTTAAGTCTGCTTTTAAAAGTTGCCACCGTTGACGCCTCACGAATGTCAGCGGGAAGTTCATTCCACAAAAATGGACCAGTCTTGGCAAAAACTCTGTCGCCAAACGTTTTCTCATTGTCTTGGGAACTATTAGCAAATTTTGCTCATTCGAGAGCAGGATGTAGCAACCAATATGCTTAAGTGTCAGTAGGTCTGAAATATAAGGCGGAACATTAGCATGAAGAGCCTTGTACACTGAGAAACAAAAAAATCTTAAAAATCACCCGCCCCGATATCGTACAGGAAGCCAATGAAGGTCAATCAAAACGGGAGTAATATGATCCAATTTGGGGATTAGACAGACCACACGTACTGCGTCATTGAGAACTCTTTACTATAAAAATCGCAACGCTTTTGTACGACAGTTGAACAACTTTTATACTAAAAGTAAAATTCATTCCACTGAGCTTTAAAAATCGCTTCATCAGCCTCATAAAGCGTGTCAAAAATTGCGCTCTATTACTTAAAAACAAACAAAGTTTTTCATTTGTCTTACAGTATTCTGATTTTCGTGAAGTTTGTGGTTCCGTAGTATGCGGCTTGGTCATCTGTACCAGTGCAGTATACAGCTCATTGTTGGAAACTATCGATCTATTCATTTGTCAACATGGTATTTGCTTACCGCTTATGTATTCTTGTGCTGCTCCATCCACTGATAATTGCTTATCTAGCTGGTAAGTAGACAAACTCGGCTGCCGTTTGTTCACATATTACATACTCTGCTTGCTAGTAGGCCTAATACCTTTTTGAATGACGTTATAGGTGGTAAATAGCATATAGCTAAATCGTTATGCCACGGCACGAAATTTTAACCGTCCAGTTATCAATTTAGGATCAGTTTACCTTTCTTCTTGAGGCCTCTGGCAAATAGGCCTTTTCGATTGAAATGTAAATGCTGTTATCGTAGACCACGAACTGCTGTTAAATAAAACAAATACATGTGGGCCGTAAAATATGGCGTTTCATGGTGGTGTTGCAGGAAATTGGTTTGGAACATATCTCAAAGAACGTAAACAAAAATTACAGGAACCACTGAGTATTTTGATAAAATACAAAACAATATAGATACTCCGAAAATTGAAAGCATTTTGAAATTTTTTTCAAAAATAAATAAATTTTCAAAAGAAATAATTTTTCAAAATGCCTTCAATTTTCGGAGTATCTATTGTTTTGTAAACAAAAATGTTTTGTTGATGGCCATTTTTCGAGAAATCGTTCACATGGATGTGGAGTTCCCCAGGGAACTACATATAGGATAAAAGCCGAATGGGAGGAGGGTCTTTCGTTGAAATTCAAGACACGAATCTGATGAAGCAACAGGTAGATGACTTTGCATATCTTTAGCTTTATCCAGAATTCTATTTAATATGACAGACTTCATGATCAGCTTTAAGTTAAGCATGCAATAATTATTGCTTGTAGGGATCTTATTTTAACGTTCTGAGATTTTTTGGAGGGTTCCTGTATTACTGGCCATGTGTTCAGTGTGTTGTGACCCACTCGGTTAGTCTGATAAACTGGTTTGTCTGTGAACTGGATAATCTTGGAACAGGTCCCAAAACTTATGCTTGACACAAATTTTATTATAATGCAACTCAATATATTATGCTGTGGTCAGGGGCACATATCCAAAGTTGTTATTTTTTCGGGGAGGGGGTCACCTCTCCTCTAATGTTTGCGAATGGCCTAAAAAAATGTAAAGCATTAAGTGGCTTTGACCCACCTTACAACACCAAAAAAAAGAATATATATTTTTTGTATAATACCTTATTGAATTCTGATTGTTTAATTGGCTGTTTATGGTCACGTGATCTTGAATAGAAAATTCCATTTCCCAAGAGTGCAATGGAATATGTTCCATTGCACTCTTGCGAGTGCAATTGTACTATACGTTTTATTCCATTGCACTCTTTGTGTTTTTTATCAATCGCATCCGTCAAAATGCTTCTCGTACGGTGATCGCAGTTTATTTTTACCCGATATTCGAAACTCAGTAAATGGGATTTAATGCAAATACGACTCGTCAAAATGGCGGGAGCCACGCTACCATTAGGCGTGCGATTTTTTTCATGTTTGTTTACGTTTCAAACGTTCAGGCTTTGACCGGAAAACGTTAACGTTTTGAGCAAGCCAATCAACGTTTGGCGGTGTGTTCAATGAAACTTTGAACTTTCGTGGCAAACGTTGATTGGCTTGCCAAAACGTTAACGTTTTCCGATCAACACCTGAACGTTTAAAACGTATACAAACATGAAAAAAATCGTACACCTAATGGTAGCTTGCAAACAACAGTAATGAATGTTATTTTATTCGTGCAATGGTAAGAATTCACCTCATAAAAATATTCTTACCATTGCACTCATAAACATTCATTATTTGTATAATATACAAATTTGGTTGCAAATAAACCAAGTTACCAAGTTAGTACATAATTTTAAATTAAATATCTATTGCTGAGTTAGGGTAGTTCCTCAAGAAAATTTTTGAAGTTTTGAATGCTTCGGTGTAAAATGTCTGCATTTTTTGACAGGTATACTTAGGTAAACAATATCTAGATTCACTATAGAAACTCGATATTCTTCCAATCAGTGTCGGTGACGCCGAATACGAAATACAGCTCTATAGTGTGGTCCAGTGGGGCATGCTCCACAGGAAATAAATTGTAAACTAGAGTCCTATAAATGTACAGCACCGGTAGACATATCATGGTTTGTAACAGCTCCAATCCTTTCCATTAAAAGAAAATTGGCAGCGTCATTTTGTGTACCTAGAAAACCAGCCTGGAGGAAAACAATATTGCCTACATTGTCTACATTGTCTACAATCAATCGAATGTTCTTATAAGGTGGTAGTGTCGATGTCCACTGTAGAATTGCCGTTGGGACTTCACTTGTGGTCGATATATTTCATGTGGAGGTCCATCTATACAGCCAACAGCGTCTGAAAAGGATGACCAGTTCCCTCGTGGAGGCATCCCACTGTTCAATACTATGCCATGAAACCTGGTTATGAAAAAAACTTCACAAAACAAGAACAATACTATGGATAATGAGTATAAAGTTTGAAACACCTTACTGTAGACAGGTTTACATAAAACGATGCTTTCAGTCAGTATTTGTAGAGTTAGCCAAAGGCTCGTACTATTTCACGATATATAAGATGTTGATGGGGTATATCGTGAGTCGTAATTGCGCAATTTCGGTTACCGTCAGTCGTGAAAACACTAAAAATTTTACCGTAAAGGTGAAGAAGAAATACTGTTTATCGTTTCAGAACACTTTTCAGCAGATTCAAAAGTTTTACAGTTTACTGATTTTCAGACCCCACATCTAGACCCTTATATAAAGCTGCAAGTAATCGTTCACACAGCGTGTAACTTGAGTTGCAAGGGCGTTTCCACAGTGTGTATAAAAAAAAGTTTAGCGTTTCAAATTTAAATCGAGCATAACGCCGTATCTATTGAACTATTTATCTGACAGACTATATATAATTGCTTCGAACAATTAGGTAGCGAGCCGTAACACAAAAGACTTTCTACTTATGCAGGGCATGTGCGAACAACTCAATGAAATACCCCGTATACAGGGTGTCCCAAAAAACCCGAAAACTATTGAAATCACTATTGTTAAAATTTGAATGCCCTACCAAAAAGCTGAACGTAATGATGCGTAAAATATAGACAAGGTGCATGTATTAAAATTTAGTTAAAAAATCTCCTTGTAAAGTGCGCGATTTTCTGCTCTTGGGAATTCAAAACATCTTCTTAAACAGTTTCTTTATGCATAAAATTTACTTATGTCAATCATTTATGCACTCGTGGGAACCAACAGAGTGCTAAGGCATTCAAATTCTAACAATTAAATAGTTATTGGTGATTTCAATAGTTTTCGTTTTTTTGGGGGACACCCTGTAGTACAGACAGCATTAAAATGAAGTTATAATTGACCTCTTTTGTAAATTAGACTTGTTTTTGTCGCGTATCAACTTAAAACAGTTGAGAACAATCAAATCACTTATAATTATCGTTAGTTTGAATTTGAAAGGCTATACTTTTTTGATACACACTGTACAGCATGCAAAACAAAATACAAATTGCACATTGTTGTGTCCAGATTTGTATAGGAGTTTAACGCTTCGTTGAAAATTACTGTGACACTCTTGGAAATTTACATAATTAAAGAGGTTGTCACTATACAGGGTGTCTCAAAAAAACCAAAATCATTGAAATTGACGTATTGTTCGATATTCAATGCCGTAACACAAAGGATTTTGACAGGGTGATTAATTTGTTTTAAAAAATTAAAATATCTTTGTAAAGTGAACGTTTGTTTGCTCATGGGAATTTAAAATGCTTCGTAAATTGTAATATGCGTAATATGCATTCGTGGGTTTAGTACTTTATGCCTGACATAACAAGTTTACGCTGAGTATTACCATTCATTATAGCAGTTATGTCAATCTTTTATGCACTCGTGGGATTAACTTAGTGCTAGGGCATTGAATATCGAACAATACGTCAATTTCAATGATTTTGGGTTTTTTTGAGACACCCTACACAGGGTGTCTCAAAAAACCCCAAAATCATTGAAATTGACGTATTGTTCGATATTCAATGCCCTAGCACTAAGTTAATCCCACGAGTGCATAAAAGATTGACATAACTGCTATAATGAATGGTAATACTCAGCGTAAACTTGTTATGTCAGGCATAATTACTAAACCCACGAATTTACGAAGCATTTTTAAATTCCCATGAGCAAACAAACGTTCACTTTACAAAGATATTTTAATTTTTTAAAACAAATTAATCACCCGGTCAAAATCCTTTGTGTTACGGCATTGAAATTCGAACAATACGTTATTTCAATGATTTTGGGTTTTTTTGAGACACCCTGTACAGGGTGTATAAAAAAAACGCAACCTCGGAATTTCCCAAGAAATCGACATTGTTTTAAAGACAAAAGATTTTAGGCGCCTGGGAATTTAAAATAGCACAACTGTCAAAATTACTGCACTCGCGAGTGCATAAAGAAAAATTTATGCATTTATTATTAACAACAACAGCAATATGATCTATTAGCAATGCGATTTCAATTCCTAGGGGCCTGAAATCGTTTATGCTTAAGAATTGCAAAGTGATTTCTTAGGAAATTCCGAGGTTGCGTTTTTTTTTTGATACACCCTGTATACAGGGTGAGTAAAAAAACTGATACCTTTGATATTCAAATTAGCCGCATAGGTGTCAGTTTTTTTTTAACTCACCCTGTAGGGTGTCCCAAAAAAAAGTGACACTATAGAAATTATCCTATTGTTATAATTTGAATGCCCTAGCACTAAGTTCATCCCACAGGTGCATAAACTTCTGCTTCTGGAATTTAAAATAACTCCTATTACCACAATAGTCAAATTACAAGTAAATAATACTATCAGTCGAAAACGTTTTAAAATGCTTAAATGTAAATACAAGTTCATTAAATTCCCAGGGGTGTAATCACGCGCGTTTAAGAGCGGCTTAAAAACAATGAGATAATTTCTATAATGTCACTTTTTTGGGGACACCCTGTACAGGGTGTATCAAAAAAAAGGAGACCTTTAGAAATCAAGCATATTGTTAAAATTTGAATGCCTTTTCAATTGCACATATGCTGAACCGTAGTGCGTGAAATATTGATGGATGCATATATTAGAAAAAGGAGATCTTTAGAATTTGAAATAACGTTTAAACAAAAGATTGTCTGCTCCTGGGATCAATCTGCTATGTGCTTAGCAAAGTGCTCCAGGATTCAAATTTTAACAATGGATGATTTCTAAAGGTCTCCTTTTTCTAATATATGCACTCCATCTATATTTCACGCACCACAGTTCAGCATATGTGCAATTGAAATGGCATTCAAATTTTAACAATATGCTTGATTTCTAAAGGTCTCCTTTTTTTTGATACACCCTGTATAGTGGAACATTAGCATATGTAATAGGATTATGCGAAGGATATCTAATTTGCTGGTTGAATTAATTTAATGTACATAAAGAACTGAATAAAAACCCAGGAAAGTCAGTAACAATTAGAGTAATGTGTAAGAGTGCTCGTCCAAAATTTGACGGTAAATTCTCGGTAAGTGCTAGTCCATGATAAAAGAAAAACATTGGTAGTTATTGCTCCACCCAAAAATGTTCTACCTCGTATATATAAGTGCATCACTATTCTACACTTCCCTAGCCAAGCTGTTCAACGACAAGTTTGTTGCTGCAGGGAATACCCTCCCCCCTCCTTACTTCCATATTTTACTCGAGCCGTAAAAGTGTTGACGCCTCATTCAGCAGAACGGTCTTCATGAAACTTAGCCTGCGTGTCCGCGGCTCTATGCTTGATATATAGCAACTGAAGTAAATAAAAATGCATCACCAAGTAAGTACAGCTCAATACTGCATGCTAGGCCCAGGCTTAGTCACTGTCCGCTTAATTTTCACCTATATAGAATTAATTGTGCAATTCCCCTTTTTGTGAATGTCGATGTGCTGAAATGGAAACTGTCAAACATTTCTTTTCAAATTGTTCTCGATTTGCTGCCCAACGTAAACAATTTCTCTCAATTCCTGCGTGGCTGCTCCATCCTATGTGGATGAATTTACCAGAGAATCGGAAAATTGAAATACTTTTGCATGGATCGGAAAGTCTTGGGCATAAAGATAAAGTAAAATTAATGCAAACTGTCCAATTATTTATTCTAAATACAAAGCGGTTTCAGGCCGAGTAACTTTTTAAACTTGTTTTGTAAAACATTGGTGTGGTAAATTCTTCCATATATATTTCTTATAATAATATGTTATTTCATGGAAAACTTGAGAACGAATACCATGCAGATGTTCTTCCACACTATAATTATCCGATCTTTAATTTAAATTAATGTAATCCTACTCTTTAATTAACGTTCTCTTGAAAATAACTTTGTAAATATTCTGACAAAATCTCCCTTGATGAGCGATGCTCTTGGAGAAAATGTCTATAATAAAATAAGTTTCAATAAAAATAAAACTGTTCTTGTAATTGTACTTTTGGCCGCATTAATTACTGCTTTTGCTGTCTATAAACTCAGTCAATAAACGTTACTATTATTATTATTATTATTATTATTATTATTATTATTATTATTATCATTATTTAAAATGTAATTCCTGGCCGTTTAATAAAAATTAGAATATTTATTTCGAGATATTAGCGGAAAAATTGGCCGTTATTGTCATATTTTAATTACCTTTGGTAATCTAATTAACTATCGCAGTTTCGATTGGTTGTTATTTATATTCATTCAAATAGCTAGTTTTCCACTTTTTATTCACTTCAGTAGCAGGCTCTATTTCAAACATTTATATAGAGTTTGACACGCAGGTTAGATGAAACTTCATACTGGTTGCTGCGTGACTCCTCTTTATGTCACTCTTTAGCATCGAATCTATCAAGAGGCCTTTGTTCCACAACCGAGAAAATCCGAAAAATCCTTATCCAGCCTTGAGTAAGATCTTGTAGTTATTTCCACACAATTGGCTTTTACAGTTCACTTGTAAACAAATTAAATAGTTCCAGTCCGGTTCACCTGAAAGATCCAACACCACTAGGGGATTAATATAAGCATGTCGCATAAATGGTATGAAGCGATTGATACTCCGGGCGGCTTCCTACAAATTTTGCATGCGCATGTCAGATATTTCTAAAGAATATACAGAAACCTTACACATATGGGTGTGCATCCCGTTCTAGTTGATTGGATTGCCAACTTGCTTATGGACAAAAGTTAAAGATGTCACTCACAGGCAAACCAATTTAACTCGATTCAGTTGTAAAACACACACTTCAAGTAAATTTAGGTAAACCTCCCCTTTGACAATCCCTTTATCTACTTATATCCTTTTTTATTTATTTTGTAGAGAAAGTTCTTATCGTGGATGCCTTAGAAGAAAGCTGGAAGGATGAAGTACGAAATAAACTCGCTGAAGTGTTCAACGACAATGGAGAAGATCTTGTCAGAATACTGTTCTTCCTTGATGAAGAAGACAAAGCTTACAAAGACAACAGTGACAGACCTTACGCTCCACAATGGAAATCTTTGAAATCCACATTGAAGATGGATGAAGCTTTTCGACAGTATGCCAAAAGGCTTTCAGATGAAACAAGAATATCAGAAAAAGATAAAAAATTTCGAAAGCGTATGAACATCATTTATGAACACATGTTGGTTCATTGTGACGACAGAGTTGCAATAGAAAAATATCAGAAAACCGATCCCAATCGAATCCACGATGATGCGGTTTCTAAATCGGCTTTTAGTGGTTTTGCACGGGCTTGGAGTATCATTCCTGCTGAATCGAAAATTTCTCTTATGAAAAGCATTAGAGAAATCGTAGGTAATTCCCGTATGTCTCAAGTAGAAAATTTTGCGCGTGTAGCAGATGAAATAGGAGGCACAACAGCAATGGTGGCCCTAGCTGTAATCCACATCAGCTTTGATGCTTATGTTCATATCCGGCGTTGGTGGAAAGGTGAAATATCAGGAGAACGATGCATTAAAAATGTACTGGATTCAACGTTCACAATAGGAGCAGGTATAGCCGGAAGTGCTGCAGGAACTTATGTCGGTTATGCAATAGCAGGTCATTTAGGGGGTGTGCTAGGAGGTGCTGCTGGTGGGTGGTTCTCTGCTGCTGGGATGAATTATATCTCTGATTGGATGACACAAATGTTGTTTGGGCTACCGAAAAAGGAAGCTTTGGAAAATGCTTATCGATACCTTGGAGTGGAAATGACTGCTTCTAACGCAGAGGTGAACACCGCATTCCGAAAGGTTGCTCTTAAACACCACCCAGACAGAGGAGGAAACGAAGATGACTTTTTAATCCTTCAGTTAAATATGGAAGTAATTAAACAAGCTAGAGAGGATTCTTAATTCATTTTTGCAAAGTCGATTTTTGTGGTCTTGGAAATATGTTTTAGTCTTTTAGCAAAATTTTGTTACTGTTGATGTTACAGTAATGCAATGTAATCTTTAAAAAACGGACGATTTTACTATTCTGACATATTTAATGATGTCTACACTTATAAATTCAATGGTTAATGAAGAGATTTTGATAGGTGCTTGCTTGACTGTAACCAATTGTAATAGCACGAGTGTGATTGCCAGGTGGTATTTCTTTTTAAAACAATGGCATTTCAACTCTTCGTCGACTAGTTAAAAGAGAAGGTCTTGCGTTTTATTTTCTGTGTTTCATACGGCGCAATCGAGAGTTCACAATCTAGCCACAATTTTTCACATTTATTTGCAACACACACCATAATTTAACCCTGTCCAGACTGGGATTTTTTGGGGGCCATTGGTAATGGGGAGGGGGCAGGCGGAAAGTTCCGCCGGTCAATATCTCTTGAACCATTTGGTTTATTCCTACGATGCTCGTCGTATTTCTAATCTATTTCACAGAGCTATGTCTGTGCACATTTCGAATCTATTTCACAGAGCTATGTCTGTGCCTCTCTTTGTGCTATGTTCCCTTTGTACAATGTGTATCAGACAAAACGAGACCTTTAGTTTAGAATTCAGAATCTTCAGAAAAACAGACGTCAATCTTATATCAAACATAAATAATATAGCATTTGTAAATTTTGAACTCTGATTGGCTAAGAGCCGTGTTGATTAACTCAATGTTAACACCGAAACGTCGGAAAATTTCTTTCTTTATCAGTTCTTTGTGCTATATTATAAAACAAATATAAAACATTTTTTTCCGTATTGATGTATATATAGTTATATCAACACTCGTGGGAATTGGGAAAACTCGAAATTGTGTTTTCACTTTCACCAATTTCCACTCGTGTTGATATAACTGTATATCAACACTGACAACAACACGGAAAATGTTTTATATTTGTTAAATCTTATGCAATAGCTTCTAATTTTATTCACTATTCATATCAGTGAAACAAAGCAAAATTGCTGATTGCTAGGTTAATTCTGGTTTCTAAAGGTCTTTATACACCCTGCAGGTAGTTTGTATTGCTTTCTCTCTTTTTGCACTATAAAGTCTATAATACCTTATCATTACTGAGTGTGCCGCCTCAAAGTAATCTGTCACTAATCTCCAAGGGAAGAATCTGGTAGGAGTTAGAGGTTAGGGGCGGAGTTGGGGTTAACCTTGACACATTATAATACGAGTCACACGAAGTATATACCCAGAATCTTGTTGGAAACCGCTGTAAATCGAATAACCGCTGTAAATAATTACTGCTGTACATTGTCCTATAGCATTCATGGGGGTAAATTAAAAATGATCCCTACACGGCCGACAACATTCTTTATTGTTAAATTAAAATTTGTTATTTTATTAAATTAACTGATATTTGATTTGATCTTCTTATATCCCCAAATGTTCATTCTGTGCTTAAAAAGGATGAAAGTTGCTCATTTGGTGCTACAGTCAAAAGTTGCTACAGACAGTAAAAGTCGCTCGAAATTGCTCGAAAGGCAAAAAGTTGCGCAAAACTCCAAAAGTTGCTCACAAAGTCACAAGTTGCCCACACAATCTATAAAGGCCAAAAACGAGGTTGGCATAAGGTCTATTAAAAATGCTGAAATGTTGTGTTGCTGGGTGTCCAGATTATTGGAAAAAAATGGCATCAAGTTTAGATTAGTGTCAGATAAAGATTAGATTAGGGTTAGATTAAGATTAGTGTTAGGGTAAGGGCTCAGCATGTGTCGCGAATTTATTGTATTGAATATTGATAATTTCGGTCGTGTTTAACAATTTACTGATATATATATATATATATTTAACAATTATTCGCCGAAGGCGAGGTGATTATCGGTGAATAAAAACCGAGACGAAGTTGAGGTTTTTATTCACGATAATAATAATAATAATAATATTTATTCAGGAAGCTCTACTCACCGAAGTGTTTTTCAGGGAGGTCCTGTAAATATAATCACCGAGCCTGAGGTGAATAATTGTTTTAGTATAATTTCATAGGTGATTCACATTTCTTCGTCATTTAATTGATAAAAAGGCTTCGGCCGCCATTTTGAAAATCGCTTAGGTGATTATCGCGTAATAATCACCTCAACGGCAACCAATCAACGTGGAGAATTTTCAATAATCACCTATGTAATTATACTAAATATATATATATATATATATATATATATATATATATATATATATATATATATATATATATATATATATATATATATATATATATATATATATATATATATATATATATATATCACTAGCCTCCCAAAAAACTTCATTTATATATAGCTTCAAATTGAAAATAAGTTTTTGGATTGAAAAATTGAATACATATGTACCACTGGGATTAAATTTGAGGGAGGAATATTAATGCAAGTCTATATATATTATTAGTGTATGTTAATTAGGATTGGGCCAAAAGTATTTAAGGACATGGATTTGAACTTATCTCGTTTCTGACGAAGGGGCTGTGCCCAGAAACGTATCTTTATCTTTACAACATGTATTTATTTATTTGAAGTTTAATAAAATTTATTTTCAATTTGAAGCTTTATATATATATATATATATATATATATATATATATATATATATTATCGGCTTTTCCTGTTCACTAAAAATACTTACCTACGGTGATTAACATATATAAAAATAGGTACGCAGTGCGTACATGTTGCATGCCTTCTGAAACTTATGACGGAGATATAGCGCTTATAACCTTTGGTACAACTGGCGTGAATCTTAAAATATTGAATCAACAAGTTTACAGTCAATTTCAGCTGACTTTTCATCGTAAGATTCCGAACTTCGTTCCGAACTTCGCAAATTCGTTGCCAAGTTCAAAAGTTCATAATGAAATTCACAAACAGGTTTGTAAACTGGGCATTTCATTGGCTGGTTTGATTTAATAGCCAATCAGAGGCTTTGTTTACAAACCTGTTTGTGAATTTCATTATGAACTTTTGAACTTCGCAACGAATTTGCGAAGTTTGGAACGAAGTTCGGAATCTTACGATGAAAAGTCAGCTGAAATTGACTGTAATAATATTGAAAAATAGCTGTTATGTTATGTTATGTTATTTATTGAAAAACTAGCTTTTATTTCAAAATAAGAAACTTAAGATTCTCACACGATAGGCAATGTTTTTTATGAGCGACCGTTCATCGTTAGTTGCAAGCGACGGTAATAACGAGGTCAGGGTCGGTCAAGGTTTTATCGAAAGCGATTGACTGCTAGATTTCCTTTACAAATTTATAACTAAATAACGTTATTTCCTATAGATTTAGCTTTATTGTAACTTTTTAAAGGTATAAAAAACCGTGGAAACGGTGAATTACTATAACAGATTGAAAATGATTATTAATTAAACTATGATTGAAATTGTCGAAGTAGAAAAAGCATAAAGGTACTAGTCAGCTAATATGACCTGTATGTTTGTTTGAGTGATTGAAATGAGTTAATTTACACTATATCGAATGTCATGCTGAATGTCATGTTGAATCTTATGCGTACTTCACAATGGTTGCTATTTCGTTGTTTTAAATTTAAAGGACATTGGCAACCAAAATTTTTATTACTTATATCTATTAGGTATACTTACGGAATATTTAATTTCACACTTTGGCCGGTTTGTCGCGTTTAGTTGCTGAGAAAATTTGATTGAATTTGAGAAAATTTGAACAGTTGTCCGCCATTTTGAAAATAAGCGCGTATGCTAATTTATGCCACAAAATACATTATCTGACGTCATTGGCTGGGTAAACACAATCTCATGACTATAAACAATACGTGTATTACCACGCGTAATGCATTTTGAGCCAAAACAAAAGGCAGAAAAGTTTTGCCAAGTATGTAACTTGTTTGTAACACTATTGCTCATGGTATATATCCTACTCCGTGTTAAATAAGCGCAGAAATTCGAGTGTAACAAGGCAAATACTAATGCAATATTTTATGGTCAATTACCTGCATTGTAAATTGCGCCATTTATTGCTTTCCCAGTCGCTCGATATGTTTTTATCTGATAGTGTAAACTTCTCTTGTTTGATTGCGAAGAGTGTTGGCCAGTATAACGCTCAAAACGACATATTTTTAGCTAACATAACGCGCACGCAATAGAATTCTCTCTTGTAGTTTTGGTGCTACCCAGCCAATGACGTCACAAAGTTCATTGACCTTCGAGATAATTTTTCAAAAATATTTTCCAAGATGGCGGCGAAACTGGCCGAAACACAAAGTTTGCAGTGATGCATTTTACTCGTAGACTAAAATGTTCAAGAAGGAAATGATAATATTTTCATAGTTCGGTTGTCAAGTAGGATTGAAATAGCCAATAAAAATTTTCGTTGCCAATGTCCTTTAAATTTCAATACTATTTATAATTCAAATTTTGTTTGATATTTATATTTAAAATTATACAAAATGTGCTGTAGTTTTGAAGCTTCGCACAGAATATATTCAGTGCGAGCACAATGGCTCCGTTTCAGTTTGAGTATATAAAAATCGAGTGTTTTGAAAGCGTGGGCTTTGAGGCTTTCACGATATATAAATATAAACGCCTGATAATTGTCAATTGATAAATAATCAGTGCGAGCACAACGGCTCCAAAAAGGCCGTTTGCCCATAGGCTGCCCAAAAGTGCGTGTTGAAATTTTTACCCTCGCGCGTGGCGCTCGGGCATTCATCGAGTCTACTCAGTTTATTATTATGACAATTTTTACCCTCGCGCGTGGCGCTCGGGCATTCATCGAGTCTACTCAGTTTATTATTATGACAATGTCATAATAATAAACTGAGTAGACTCGATGAATGCCCGAGCGCCACGCGCGAGGGTAAAAATTTCAACACGCACTTTTGGGCAGCTATGGTTTGCCGTGACCTAAAAATATGCCTAGAAAACGATTTTCATTAAGCATGTCGTGGAACTGAAATATTTTCACGGTAACTAACATTTTCGAACACGCTGAATTCAAATCCGAAAAGTTGCCGCTCCGTAGACCCGCAGTTTTTTCACAAATTGCATTTGTATTTTCAGTTCTTCGACGAACAAAAATAAATACGCGCCATTTTGAAATTAAATAACATCATTCAGAGTATGCCGTTTTTGCTCCCCAGTCTCCGATGCTCATGACCGAGTGACCGAGTTTAAGATTTAGAGCAATATTATTAAATTTGCTGCAAAACAAACACAGTCACGTGGTTTTAAAAATGGCTAGTCTGAGTGATTTTCAGTTTATTTGCCAGCAAAATCGCTAAAGAATGAGAAATAAAGTTTAAATTATTTATTTGGCAGAGAAAAGCAATAAGGTAGGTGTTCTCTGTGTATATTTTTTGAGTTTGTTTAAGGCTAATGCACCTATCATTGTTTTCCCCCTGACGGGGGGGTGCGGGCGACCCAGGGGACTTTGACCACACTATGAAGCCCTAGTGAGGGGAATTTGACCTATGCATCAACTCCCATAGTCGGGAAATTTTGACATCCGCCATCTTGAAAGTTTGCGCGGTTTTGACATTGAAAGGCCTGGTAACAAGTATGGCGGAGAAGCACGATCAAGTTTCATCGAAAAAGGTATTTTATAGCCTTTTATACACAGTGTCTCAATTTTTACCAAGTTTAAACCAGTATAGACTGTATGTTCGCATTGGAAAACATGTGTGTGCCTTGTTATCTTAGGAATATAGTGGGGAATTTTGACAGCCATTCCTTGCCCAACAGTGGGGATTTTGACAACAAAATTTGAAAAATGTCAAAATTCCCGTGGGTTGCCCGCCCCCCCCCCCCCCTCAGGGGGAAAACATTGATAGGTGCATAAATGGCCTATACAAGAACAAACAAGTGATTAAGTGAACAACCATCACGATTTATTCAGGTTAGCTCTCATGCAGACACATATAAGGAACAGATTAAGGCCAGTCTGCTTGAAAACTCACAGTAAAATTGTTCCATATCAAGTTTGCTGTTTATGGGAATTATAGTTGGTCATAAGGTGTAAAGGAATTTATAGGAACTGTTATTCAAATATTGATTTATCACCCCAAGAAATGTCAAGAAAGCCAACAAAATCATCAACATTTGC